TCTACTGCTCAAATAGGGATTATTCTTTTTTTCAACATTTTTACTTTTAATTCTCTCTCTCTCTCTCTCTCTCTCTCTCTCTCTCTCTCTCTCCCCAGCAAATTTGGAAAACCTAATCACTCTTTTCCTCATTCCTCACTCCCACCACATTGACTGAAAGAAGGAAGGCCCTCCATCTAATAAATGAAGTTCAGAAATCTGGCCAGACCATTAAAAGGCATATAATCAAGACCCCCACACCTTTGCTCCAGGATAATTCAATAGACTATAACCCTTACTAAATTAACTAGACAGGAGTGACCCTAGTACCCTGGTGGCTTACATACGCAAACTAAAACCTAAGCCTACAATGCCTCAAGATAAAGACATCAAAACCTAAGGATAACTAATCACAAACAGCCACCGAGGCTGTAAGCTCTAGTCAGGCAAATAATTTCCTTGCTATCTTTCCATACCTTCTCCATATAAATCTTTCCCCTCGCTCCTGCCATCAGAGCACTCTCACCACTTTCAGTTTAGCACTACCTGATTGGAATCAATTTTTGTTCAAATAAATTCTTAAAATTTTTAATATGTCTCAACTTATCTTTTAACACCCTGTAAATATGACTCAACAATGAACCCATTTTCTTATCCCTGACAGGTCTTCAAAGCCAATTTGAGAGAAAGGGGGTGAAATAAGGATGCTCCCTACCTAGTAAGGTAAAGTCCTCACTCCATTGAAAAAGCTGCAGCCTTGCCAATAATAGGGACAGTTAGGAGGAGGTTCCTGGAGGAGAAAGGTCCTTATGGGGTTAACCATTCAGTCACTCAGAAGTGATGATGCTATGGAAGTGTGTATCTTTGTCAACAGTTATGCTTGACTTATCAGAAAAATAAGGGAGATGCTATCGTATGGGGTTAACCATTCAGTCACTCAGAAGTGATGATGTTATGGAAGTGTGTGTCTTTGTTCAACAGTTATGCTTGACTTACCAGGAAAATAAGGGAGATGCTATCAGGATTCATACTAGTGGGAGATGTCAAAGGAGATGGACCCACGAAAGCCCTGGCATCTTGTAGGGAACTGGACCACAAAGATCCCCCACAGGTCACGTGGCCCTACTTCTCTGGTGGTGGAATTATTCCAAACTGAGTTGAGACTTAGTAGGAAGCAAATGCTGCTGAGAAGGTGACCAATCCTAGGATAATACAACTCTTGTGGGTTTCTAGAAAGGTGGGTGGAGATCAGATAAAGGAAAAAATGTCCTGGAGAGTAATTGTCCTGAGAGCAAGGAAGCACCTTTAGGAGCTGCAATGTACACAAGATAGGAGCTTGGGGGGAGGGGGGGGATTACCTTGTTGGATGATTTTCCTTGGACTATGGGGAGAGGTTTCTAGGTCCCAGTCTATAACTCCTGAACCCGATTTTTCAATTACAGAAGTCAAGAAATCTAAATGTTTAGCAAGTACACAATGGGGTTTCTATGACCACGAATTTGAGAAACCCTGATTTATAGAATTCCTGAACCACGTTTTATTTGCTCATCCCCCTCCTGCATGGGAGAGCCAATGAGAATTCAACTGACATTGCATTCCTGACCACCCGACCTGCTGGAGGAGGAGCAGGAAAGTCCATGAAATGCAGTTTGCCCTGGAGTACAGGAGCTGGGTGATGGATCCCCACACTCCTGAGACTTCTTTCAAGGCAGAAGAATCATTTGGGGAAATGGACAAGTGGCTTCACTGCCACCTGAGGCCATGATGTTCTAATTTCTTGTTCTACGCTTAAAGGTCTATATTCTGCCGAGGCCAAAGACCCTTTGGCCTTTGGAGAAGCCTTCGTTTTTACTTTGGGGGCTGACTCCAGAGAGGCTCGAGGCAGCATCCCCAGGGTACCACCCCTCAGCTTTTCTGATATGCTACCTGGGATCCTAAGGCTTTCTTAGAAATTATTTTTTTCTTGATGCTCCCCCAGAGGATTTGTTATGTCCAGCCTCTGAGCTTCATCTTAAGCTATTATGAGCTAAACTGAGTCCCTCCCAAAATTCCTATGTTGAAGCCCTCAGAATATGACTGTATTTGGAAATAGGCTCTTTAAAGAGATGATCAAGCTTTAAAGAAATGAGACTGTTAGGGTGGGCCCTAATCCAATCTCAGTGGTCCTTCTAAGAAGAGAACATTTGGACACATGGACTCCAGGGCTATGCGCACACAGAAAGGCAACTACGTGGAGACAAAACAGTAAGAAGGCACCATGTGCCAGGCAATAAGAAAGGTCTCAGGAGAAACCAACCCTGCCAACACCTTGAGCACAGACTTCCAGCTTCCAGACTGTGAAAAATACATTTCTGCTCTTAAAGTCCCCCAGTCTCTAATAGTTTGTTATGGCAGTCCTAGCAGAGTAACACAAAAGCTAACGTTCACAAAATTCTCTGCACCTTTGTTACACTGCTATATTCCGGAAGGGTTTGTGGCAGTCTTACCACTCCATCAGTAGCACTCTTTCCCTACGTTCTTGCTGGCTGTACTATCAAAGTCTGGTTGACTTTTCTTTATAATTTTCTATCTATCAGCAAAAATTCCTTATGTTTATTATCAATTTGTTTTCACTCGAATATGAACTGACTGTGGCTTTTGCCTATTTTTCTATTGGGGTAGTCTATTTTTTCTTACTGATTTACGGGAGTGCTGTCTATAAATAAATGTATTGAATCTCAAGTCATTCATTTGCAAATATTTTTTCAATTTTTTGTTTCCTGCTAACTTTGTTTATATTTTGGTATGAGAAAGCTTAAATTTTTTATATGTTCAAATCTATTTCTTTAATTGCATTTCTATTTATAAAGTCTTTTTCATTCATGAATCAGATAAATGTTTAACTAAATCTTAAATTTTTAAATGATTCCATATTTTATTTTTTATTCTTTAATCCAACTTTTATTTATTTTATTGTCTGGTATGGAAACAGGATGCAAATTTGTTTTTCTCCCAAATGTCCAAATTTTGTTGTGCAAGTCTTTCAAAATAATCTATTCATATTTCATCAAATTGAAATGTTTTCCTTTTTCATATATTACTACCTACATACCAAATTTTGATTCTTGGTTATTATTATGTTTAATTGCTGTCTTTTTCCTTCATCGATACCGTTATTGGTGTCACTACAATTACTATACTAATAATACATTTTACTAGCTGATAGGGTATATTGATCTTCATTACTTCTCAATCAAGACTTTTTCCTACCTACTCTTGGCTATGATTTTTAGTAAATTTTAAGTAGTTTGTCAAGTTATCCCAATGAGCTCATTGAGATGTGGGTTTGTAATTACAGTATATCTACTAAATTAAGAAAAAAAAAATCAACATCTTTCAATTTTTTTTTCTCCAAAGGGGGAAACTAACTGTGTTTCACTTATTCAGAGCTTCTTGTGGTATACCTCTCATAATTTTTACACTTAGTCTTAATAATCCTTACTGTTCTTCTTAGGACTGTTGTTAGATAATTTATTTTAATTATATTTTTATTTTATTTTATTTTATGTTCACTATTGTGAATGAGACTTTTTCCCATAATGATTCCCAATTATTTGTTATTGAGTCAAAATGAAACCATTGATTTTGGGCTATTACTCTTAATTCTGTCACTTTGTTGAGTTCTTTTATCAATTCAAACAGTTTTCCATTAATTCTTATTAAGGCTCTCATTAGATTATCATCATTCACAACCAATATGATTATCTGGAATCTTCCTTTTCATTAGAAATCTTATTTCTCCTTCATATTAAATACTACAAGTGATAACAATTGCTTGGATCATTTAAGGGCATAATTTTCTCTTAATGAGCAAAATAGAATGTCCATATTCAAGCTTTCTGCCAGAAAATGTAACTTTGACCTGGTTACTGTTTGACTGTTATCCCAAGAGTCAAGAAAAATGGTGTTTCTGGTGAATATTTGAAGGACATGAATTGATTCTCTGGTAGTTTAGATTTTATCCCTGGATCAAGCTAGATCATCAGAGAGCCACACTATTTGCTCCACATTTTCTTGACCCAACAGAATTCCCTTTGCGAAGTTGTGCTTTGCCTTCTTACTTTGCCTTATACCAGGAATGGTATAAAATCACCTGAAAGTCTATTATAATTGTTTTAAAGGATTTTTTAGGTCATTGTCCATGTCATCACTTAGTAACCTAAATATAAAGAAAAACCGATGATAGAAATTTCTTCAATACTACAGTCCCAGAAAAAAAAAACCAGTTGATGTAATTCATTCATGTCACATTTTAATTGTTCTAATCTCATCCCATCCCACTCTGTCCTTCCTGGGACATGAATCATTCTTTGTCCAGCATCCCTACACTTTGCATGCTCCCCATGCAGTTGTCACTGAGCAGCTGCTTGGTTATCAGATCGACTATTGAGGTATCACAGCACTTGTGTTCAAGTAACCTTTATTTTGCTTAATAATGGCCCCAAATCACAAGAGTAGGGATGCTAGCAATCAGATATGTCAAAGAGAAGCCTTTAAGTGAAAAGGTATGTATGTATAGAAAAAACATGATATATATAGGGTTCGGTACTACCTATGGTTTTAGGCATCCACCGGAGGTTTTGGAACATATTTGCTGTGGAAAAGATGACAGACCAAGCCATCATTTGTGACCCAGACCTGGGCCTTTGAGTTCTGAGATATCTGGGAACAGGTATCAGAAACCTAGTTACCAAGGAGACAAAACAGGAACTTTGCCACCAGGGAGTTGATGTCACAATGGCACCAAGGATCACACTAACTTAAACCTGAATAATAAAGCTCTTGGCCTGAGAAACCAGAGTTCTGAGCTCTGTCTCAGACTTTGTGGGCACTGATTAGTAAAACAGAGGTCTGGACTTGAAATCTGGAAGCATGGCCTTGGTGTCAGCTCTGCCACCAATGAATCAGGGCTGGCAAGCCCATGGAATTTCCCGGGGGCTCCATAGCACTCCCCTCACAAGAAAAAGGTTAGATATGGTATGTGACTCTTTCAGATTCTGTATTTGCAAAAATATCTTATCAGAAATCCCAAAGGTATGTGAACATAAGAAGTTTCTACTCATCTTTAAATCATGAACTTCTAGAGAATTGTCTAAATGTCCAATGTCTCTGCTAATAGGAAATGAGCTGAATTTTCAAGGGTGAGTGGGGAAAAAAATTAAGATAAAAAAGTAGGGGACAACTGGACTTCCAATATCCACCAAAGGAAATTCTAATATCACAGTTTTCTATTAAGAAAAATATGGCCACAAGATGCTTTAGTGCTTTGACTAGTTTTTGACATGGGTAGAGTTAACATTTATAATTTATAAGTAGGTATCATTTGGACATACACTTTTGTTACACTTCTTTTTTGTAAATAAAAAAAATCATACGCCATGAACAGTTGACTCTCTGTAATGCTTTCAGAATGCACTACTTTAATTCTGCAATGATTGTTTCAAGGTCTTCCTTAAGGGCACCACAAAATTCACTCACCTTTTCTTCTCTTTTATAAAACTGAAAGGTTGGGACATAAACGATCCCACGGTCTTGCACTAGCTCCTCACAGTCATCAACATCTACTTGCAGGAACACTACATCCTCGTGCTTCACAGACAGGGAACAGAAAAGGGGTTTGATGGTCCTGCAAGGCATACACCACATGGCTGAGAAGACCACGGCCACCAGCCTCTCCCCTGCCTCCTTGAGCGCCAACTCAAAATCCTCTTTGCTCAGGATCACTTTCACCAAATCGACCTTCAAGAGCTCCACTGTTTCTTCTGCCGAGATGTCACCTTCCCCAGGCTGGATGGCTTCTTCTGAGGGCTTGGGGGTGTCACCCTCCTTGAGCTGGATGGCTTTCTTCTCTGAGGGCTTGGGGGTGTCACCCTCCTTGAGCTGGATGGCTTTCTCTGAGGACTTGTCTTCCTTGGGCTGGATGGCTTCTTCTGAGGACTTGGGGGTGTCACCCTCCTTGAACTGGATGACTTTTTCTGAGGACTTGGGGGTGTGGTCCTCCTCGGGCTGGATGGTTTCTTCTGGAGATCTGGAGGTGTTGCCCTGCTTGGGTGAAATGTTCTTTTCTGATAGCTTGGGAGTGTTGCCCTGCTTTTGCTGAATGGTTTCTTTTGGAGATTTGGAGGTGTCACCTGGCTTGAATGAAATGGATTTTGCTGATAGCTTGGGAGTGTTGCCCTGCTTAGGTTGAATGGTTTCTTCTGGAGATTTGGAGGTATCACCCGGCTTGAATGATATGTTCTTTTCTGATAGCTTGGGAGTCTTGCCCTGTTTTGGCTGAATGGTTTCTTCTGGGAATTTGAAGGTGTCACCTGGCTTGGGTGAAATGTTTTTTTCTGAGGACTTGGGGGTGTTGTTCTTCTTGGGTAGGATGGGTTTTTTTGAGAAACTGGGGTTGTCACTCTGCTTGGAAGGGATGGTTTTTGCTGAGGAACTAGGGGTGTTACCCTCTTTAGGAAGGATGCTTTTTGCTGGTGATATAGGAGTACTGTCGTGCTTAGGGGGGCTAGTTTTAGTTGGAAAATTGAAGATGTCATCCTGCTTAGGCGGGATGGGTTCTTCTGAGGAATTAGCAGGGTTATTCTCTTTGGGAAGCATGGTTTTCCCGGAGGAATTAAAGATGTTGTCCTCTTTAGGCAGGGTCGTTTTGCCTGGGGAATTGGATGTGTCACCTTGCTTGGGCTGCATGATTTTCCTTGGGGAATTGGGAGTGTCGCCTTTCTTGGACTGCATGGTTTTTGTTGAGGAGCTGGAGTCACCCTGCTCAGGAAGAAACGTGTCCTCGGGTTGTGGAACTTTGGAGTCCTCTGCAGGCATGTGCTGTATGCTGTTGACATCGTGGGCAAAGGCTTTCTGGGTGAGGGCTGGATCCAAGAACTCTGGGGCCAGAGGAGTCACATGGCCGGGCAGAACCTGTAATAGTGGACTCTCTGAACAAAACAGCAGATAAAATAAAATGCAAAAGAAAAAACCAAAAACTTTGATCATATACTCCAAAGAAGACCTGTGTCATCTTTAGAGCTCACAAACATAGTCTTATAACGATGTATTAATTGGAATAATCACATTCAACAAAAGGCCAAGCATCATGTGATTACATGTATCTTTTATGCAGGTTTTTTTTAGACTACAAGTTTCTCGGCTTAGTCTTATACCTCATACTCCCTAAGCACATAGGTCCCTTAAGGCAATACCCTTCCCTCCCTCTTACCAGTAGGATCACCTTCATGTGTTTCTGGTTGTTTGTCAGATCTCATGTTCAGTTCTTCCTGGGATCCAACTTCATCACTTTCCACTCTTACTTCATAAATGCCTCATAGTGAAAACAAGGCTGTGCCCTCCAACTTTTCCAACCTATTCAACCTAATATCTTAGAATGAGTAACAACTTATATTTGTGTAGTTACAGATGGTTTTCCATCTCTGTACTGGAGAGTTTCATGACAGCCTCAGTTATGGTGGTCGCACTGTGCATGAGGCTGCGCCTGGTGCCTGATATGCATTCATAAGCATTATTTTCTATAACACAACAAACCACTGAGGTAAGTACCATTGTGATCCCTCGCTTTACAAATGAGAAAACTGAGCCTGAGAGAAGTTGCATAACTCCCTCAAGGTCACAAAGCTAGTATGTGGGGCAGGTTCCGAGGCCTCACTCTGAATACTACACTGTGTTGTACTGTTTGCCAAGTGCCCTGTCCAGGATGGGTAACTTGAAGCCAACTTTCCTACAATCTCCCTCTAGGATTCTCCAGCTCCAGTTTCCCCTTTATGACTCACCCACTGTAACCATCTCCTCCTAATCACAATTCCCTCCTCTGCCAAGTCCTGCCTGACTGTCAGAAGCCCTGTTGGAGCTATTTGGATGGGAGTAGATGGTGACACAGAAGGAATTCCCTATTTAGAGGAAGAAATAAAAACTTCACCCCTTCCATCCTGGTAGGTGGGGAACCAAGAGAATAGATACATGTGTCCTGGCCTCCTCTCTCCAGGTAGAAACCTTAGCACGGATGCAGGTTAGATGTGTTCGGAGGACAGCTGAAAGCAGAGCAATATTTGCCTCATTCCCCAGCTGGAAGGCCACAAATGGCTCACATCCACATGGACTCCACCCGCATCAACACTGTAGTGTGGGCCTTTGGCAGAGGGTGTGACCTGGCGTGCACATGCCAGGGATCCGGAAGTCCTGCACGCTCCGCAGTGGGGCTGTGAGGATTCTGAGAAAGCCAGAGACCCAGCAGAGGCTTCAAAGAGGAACAAAGAAGCCATAGTGTAGGGGGTTTTGCAACCAGAAGCAAGGACTAGAGCCACAAGCTCTATCAGTAGGTAACCACACAGTGGCCCATCCCCTAGATGTAATCAGGGGTCCTCTGTGGTCCTCAGACTAGGGACCAGACCAACAGAGGCAGAGGGTCCGGCAATAACTATTCCACATAGGAAGAACTGGAAAGACCAAATTGCTACCCAAATAAAAAAGTATTCTTTAGGTTGAAATACCACAAATAGATTTAATTTATGTCTCTGCTCCTCACCATCCCTCTTCAAATTCCTTTGAGATAAGGAATTGGGAAGAGAGGAGCCATTGAAGAAAAATTTTAAAGTCACATTATATCTGTACATCGTAGTATTGAGTGAGGAAGTGAGGAACTGTGATCCCATTACATTTATACTTGGAGATTTGAGTTGTGTTTTAGGTTCAGCAGAACTGTTCCAATTATTCCTGCTCTTCATTCTGCAATTCAGATGGATTCTAAGCAACTTGAAATATTGACACCTCTGAATAATCTTCATCAACTTGTCATAAAATGTTTTTTTCTTTCAGCACAAGCTTGCCCCCAAATTGCTCATGAGCCCTTATATCAGTCCAAGAAAACAAATAATCAGCTATTTTAGACATAGGAAGATTAAGTATAAAATAGCTAGAAAGACTGCCTTTAGGCAAGGTTTCCAGAGCTTATTCCTAGTTGCAAAACAGGCCTCCCAAGGGGACTTCAGCCTCCATGATATCAGGAAGGTAAGGAATCCTAAAGTCACTGCTAAAACTGTTGACTTCAGGAACTTTCTGCTATAGCTGCAATCCAGAAGTGAGTCAGTCACCCCACAACTCCCTCTCAGCTCAGAGCTAGAGGTCAATGCTGGAGTTCTGCTTCAGCGTCCCTCACCAGTCCCCATCACAGGGCCCCTGCAGAAAGGGACAAAGCTGCAAGATAATGGCCTCCTTTTCGTGCAGGTTCATCTATTGGTAGAATTTAATTTGCATCCAGAAACTCGGCTGCAGAGGAGTCAAGGAAATGTGGCATTGAGTTTCCCAGCCTCTGCGGTGCGGGAAGCACACTAGAAGCTGGAGTAAACACTGTGTGGAAATTCATTTCTACCACATATCATGCCTACATGATGGTCTTTTTTTATTCACCATACTGGCATAATTTTTTAATTTACATATTCATAATAGAAAAACTAGAAAACACAGATAAGTGGAAAGAAAATAAAAATTATTCAGAGCACTAATCTTCAGGTGCCATTGTTAATATTGTGAAGTATAACTTTATTTGCTGAAGTGATCAGAAAACAATTGGTTGTGTAAGTCATTGCACAGGCCTGGATTCAGTTTCTCTTGGGTTTTACTTGGTTCACACACAATATCCCACTTTCCTTTAGATCAGGGGTCCTCAAACTACAGCCCGCGGGCCACATGCAAATACAAATATTGTATTTGTTCCCGTTTTGTTTTTTTACTTCAAAATAAGATATGTGCAGTGTGCATAGGAATTTGTTCATAGTTTTTTTTTAAAAAAACTATAGTCCGGCCCTCCAACGGTCTGAGGGACAGTGAACTGGCCCCCTGTTTAAAAAGTTTGAGGACCCCTGCTTTAGATCATCCTTCCAATCCAAAATACATTATTGTGGGCTCACATGAAATAAATGAAGCTATAGATCCATTTAAATATCTATTAGAGGATTATTTTTTACCTAGTTTCTCAGTGTTATAATAGCAAACACTGAAAAAACTCCTAAAACATTCTAAGTGCTTTGAATGTCAAGGCAGATTAGTAAATTGCTTACTACTCCTTTTATTTTCCCAGTTTTCAAGAATAGACATTTTCATAGAATGCTATGAAAAACAGTATGAAGATTCCTGAAAAAAATAAAAATAGAACTACCATATAAGCTAGCATTTCCACTTTGGGGTATTTATTTTTTTATATAAAAACAATAATTAGAAAATTTATTGTAGCATTATCTACAATAGCCAAGATATGGAAAACACCTAGGTGTCCATTGATAGATGAATGGATAAAGAAGAAGTATCCAGCCTGGCCAGAGTGGCTCAGTTGGTTGAGCGTCGTCCTGTGCACCAAAGGGTTGCTGGTTCGATTCATGTTCAGGGCACATATCTGGGTTGTGGGTTTGATCCCCATTTGGGACACAGGCAGAAGGCAGCTGATCAATGTTTCTCTCTCTCTCTCTCTCAGAGCATGTCCTTGGTGAGGATTAAAAAAAAAGAAGCTGTATCTATATGATAGAATATTACTCAAACATAAAAGAGACTGCAATATTGCCACTTGAGACCTAGAGGGTATTATGTTAAGTGAAATAAGTCAGACACATAAAGACAAATACCCTATGATTTCACTTATATGTGGAACCTAAAAAACAAAACAAATAAAACAAAACAAAACAGAAACCAACTCATAGATACAGAGAACAAACTGATGATTACCAGAGGGGAGCGGGTTGGGCAGAAAAGGGGAAGGGGGTTAAAACTATAAGAAAGGAGACATTGCCTTAGCTGGTTTGGGCTCAGTAGATAGAATGTCAGCCTGTGGACTGAAGGGTCCCCGGTTTGATTCTGGTCAAGGGCACATGCTCGGGTTACGGGCTCGATCCCCAATAGGGAGCATGCAGGAAGCAGCCAATCAATGATTCCCTCTCATCATTGATGTTTCTATCTCTCTCTTCCTATCTGAAATCAATAAAAATATATTTTAAAAAAATAAAAGAGAATAGACATTAATACTGAAAGAACATAATTTTTTTTAAAATAATAAATGAATGCTTTTCTTTTCTAACTCCAAATGGCTCATCATGGAGAGGATCTGTCATGATTAATCAGTATTGTATCTAAGGTACGAATCTTGTGCCTTTTTACTGGCTCTCTGAGTTCGTTATTCCATGCATTCCTCATTAGTTCTGGACACAGTGGTACCTGTGTTTTGCTCAAGGGAGGGTGGATTATTGACTTTACTCAGTTCCTTTGTTCTAATATTTAACCCCAACATTATTGTGATTGAAAAGACTTCTAGTATAATATTTAAAGCTCTCCTGTGTAAATATTTACTGGAAAATTCAGTTTGGATCTGCTTTGGTAAGATCCAGATCAGGTGTAAGCTTGTTGATGTTTTAATGCTAATATGCTGCTATAAAGCTTGAAAGTGCACATGACCCCTCCTAGTGCAGGGACAGTGCTCTCTGCACATGGTTCCTGGAATCTCCCACTGCTCACCTTCTAAAGGAAACCAGACAAGCAAGTTAACAAACTAGGAGCGTACCTGCCTCTGGAACAAATGGCACCCATAGCAGAGTAGAGCAGAGCTTCAGGTCTCATTGAACGCCTCGCGGTGCATTAATTGTAGCTTTGATGTTCAGAATCATGACACTGAACTTCCTGGGAAGGGCCCAAGATCATTCTCACCATAAGTGAGTGTGGCTTCAGAGGGCACTTAATGAATGGATGGTAAAGGCATGAATGAATTACAGCAGGTACAATGGGAAACAGTTGAAAGTTTAAATTAAAACACTTACTTTAAAAAATATTTTTGATAAAATTATCTTTTTAGCATCTGACAGATCTCCATTCCCACCTTGACCCCTAAATAAATAAGAGAAAGGTTAAAAAAAAACTATTGC